CGACCCCCCCCCCCCCGTGGTTGTATGCAGACCCTCTTGTGCTGGTTCTTGTGTACGACGTATGCAAAAGCAAGGGATGATTGCCCGTGTTCACAAGGTGCACACAGGGTTGCCCATGCGTCTCCTAGGGCATGTCGGGAGAGGGGGGAATATGGAGTGTAAAACAGTCGGCGGGGGCACAGCCCGGATATTGTATCCAGCAGTTTGACCTATGAGAAAAATATACTTTGAAGCACATCATTCGAGTAAAAGCACAATCACGGAGGCCCGGTGCACAGGGAGACGGCGTGAAGCATGGCGTATCCTTAGTTGAGTTGGCTGCTGGGTGCACGATATGGCGCAGCTTTCGTGTGCAGCTCCGTACCCTGTGTTCGTTCGGATACCCACACACAAGGGCCTGAATCGGCACCGAAATCCACCCCGGGGAATGGAGAGGGAGGGTTCAAGGTTTTTTCATGCGTTCATGGTTTGGGATGCGCGTGTTGACCGGCAACGTGGGCCCCGCCCACGCTCACTGCTTGCGTCCCCGCTTTTCACCCGACTACCCACGCGCAAAAGCTCATCGCGGGAGGAGCAGGCGAATGGGGTGAGGCGGTGGGAGAAAGAAACAGCAAAAGAAATGAAGCAGGAGAGGAGCGGAGGCTGTCTTCGCCTTGGGCCCTGTACGAACGGTCTATGTCTGAAAGGTGAGCAACCAAGGGCTTTTTCGCGTGTGGCCTGAGAACGCGACGGATGTGTAGTGGTCGTGATGGGGTGCGGTACTTCTTTCTTTGGCACAAATCGGCAGCGGAATCTTTCCGAAGGCGCACTTCTCCCGTGATTGGCAACTCTCCTGACCCTATCGATCCCGCCCCGCTCATCTCCGACGAAAAAACGGCGATGATATTTTTGGCAGGCCTCTGTTGACCAAGTCCGTGACGTCGGCCCTAGTATCCGCTCTCGGAGAGCTCGCGGGCTCGGCGTTGCGGTCCTCATCCCCGCCCCCTCTTCCCGTCGGGGCCGGAACGGCGCTGGCCGTAAAAGGGAGAGCGGGAGCAGGGCAGCGTACGGGGACGGCTGCACCTGGATTGCTTAGAAGAACCGCCGCATTCGCGATCTTCGGGCTGTTGGTGAATGGACCGGTGTTTCATTGGTGGTACGGGGCTCTAGAGCGAGCCGCCGCGAGGTGCGTCCTTTCAGACGCGCATCTTCGCCTTTACGAAGCACGACACCTCGTGACATACCAGCTGGTGGCTTACTGTTAGCGCCCGCACTGATCAACTTAGCAGTTAAGATTTTCAATGCTCATCACTTAGGCAAAATACCTTGAGCACCAACTCGTGAGCAAAATAATTTGAGTACCAATTTGTGAGGTTGGTCTAGAACCCCTGTATTAGAACCCATGTAGCGGTTGTAGCGCACATCCCCCTTAGGAACTAGGAAACCCAGCGTCAGCGCTGTGTTCACGTGATCTGGCGAGTGTGAGCACCGAAAGACGACCGGTAGCCGGGGTGCCGGTGCCTCCTCCTATCCAGCCCTCAAGTCGACGGCAACCCTCCTCCCCACGACCCGAATGTCCTCTATCCTTGGTCAGACGGCGCAAGGCGGGCGAACTCCCCGGTGGTGCCGGCGACATCACCTTCAAGGTAGCGGTAGATCGCTTCTTGATGACCCCTCCCTACCTGGCCATAACGCTGGCATCTCTGAGGCTGCTCCAGGGGCTCGGTGCCAAGAGGTCTATCGATGAAACGAGCGCGTTGTATCGAGGGGTGCTTTTCACGAACTGGAAGGCGAGTGGGATAGGATTGGTGTTGTGGCTGTCGTCGTTGGAGTCCGCTGTGGACACTTCCTTGCTTGCTTTCCAATGCGCTGTTGCATTCGCTTGGTGTTGTGAAGCATGGAGTATGCTCTCTTCGAAGCTTCATGCACTCCGGGTACCACCTCGGCATGGAAGGATGCTGCTATTTCGGATCCGTTTCGGCGGGTGTTCTCTCTCGACGTTGTTTGTGGATTGAGCGAGCCTTGTCGGAGCCAGGTGCGCGGTCCCGGCAGCCTTCGCCGACGAAAAGGCCGTGTGTGTAGCACTGGCAAGGTGGGGAGCGATACCTCGCTTTGCCCTGAAACAAGCTGCAATGTGGGCCTTTCTTTGAGACCGACCGACATGTATGCATACATTGGCGAGGAAAGTACACCTGCGGAATTTTGTGAGACGGGCACCTCCCGCAGCTGCGTGTCCGTTGAAGACCGCCGCCAAACGCACACGGAAAAAAAAGTGCAAGGAAACGGGCTCGACACTCGCTCTTTCCTCGCCAACGCCGGGCACAACAGAACGAGACCCCAGGGGCATGTAGCCCACCTCGGCTCCGGTCCGGAAGGCTTTGATGACAGCCTCTTTTTCTGCCCAGTCGATCCTTCGGACGCGAGGACGAGGCGTAGGAAGTTGCTCTTGCAGCCTGCGGCATGGTTGGGAGCGCCTGTATCTAGTGTACACAGGGAAAATACGCACACACACGCACACACAGATGCAGCTGGCAGGGAAGAAATACACATTGCGAAGAGGGTTTGTTCTACTTTCGGCTGAGTTGTGTTGTTGTGCTTGACTCTGGTCGGCCCCGCATGCCCTTCCTCCGATCCTCGCGTCCGACCCCCGACTCCGCGTACTCTCTTGTTTGTCTGTCTGCCTGCTCTCTCTCTTTTTCTCTTTCGTTGTTGTTATACCTCTTTTTACTCTGTTGCAATCTCTGACAATCCTTTCTCAGGCACCTGATATTTGATTTTTCGGCGAATCACCGGATTGAACCGATAAATCCTGACGAAATACCTATGTGAAAAACCAAACGCAGATCTGGACTGCAGCTCAGCTAATCAACTTCAAGCTCGTCCCGATCGAGTATCGTCCCGTTTTCGGTGAGTGCACTCTTTATTGTACCGGTATACGCAGCTGATCAGCCCCCAAAGGCGCCAGCAGACAGGGGATGAGTAGGTTGTAACAAACAACTGTTCAATCCTTTCCCACATTGAAGACTTCGCACGGTACGCGCAAGGACAGAGCGTGTTAGGACGCTAGGCGGCTGCCCGAGCACGTTGTTGTCCAAGGTACACACGCAGTTGGGTAACATCGAGTTTGTGAGAGCAGGCAACACAAGTTAACAATAATGCGGGCATTGGTTTGTCGGCGAAGGGCGGCCCTGGAAGCCGCCGTAGCTTGGAAGCTACGACGTTCATGTTAGGGGGATGTTGAGGTGTTCGTCGTGCTACTCACATCTACTCAACTCGTCGGGCGTGTTCCTTCGCCAATTCTCGCGGGATGGGTACTGGGCTCGGGACGGGAGTTTCGATTGGAGCCTGCGTAGAATGCTTTTTTTCTGCGGGTGGTATCCTAACCATTTCCAAGCGCCCGTACCTTCACCAGGATTGTTTTTTAAACAAAACGCGACACACCCAACTTTTGTGTTAACGAAAACTAGGACGGTTCCTACTCCACAGCAGCCGTCTTGCAGCGAACTACGCTCGACAAACCGAACTACCTGCTCACAAGTCTAAACGAGAAAGTCACACACCTTCCCCGGAGGTTGCGTCTGTCGAGCATGATTTTGCTCAACCGCAATGGTCGAAACAACGCTGAAATAGTCAAGGCAAGTATCTTGAGAAGCTAGGGCAAGTTGAACTGAAATGTCATTTTCGTGCGCATTTGCTTTCCACGTGGTACTTCGTATTTGGAATGCCCAGGGGTTAGCACACCGTTTTTCAAAATTGTTCGCGAAAACACCAGTGAACATCGAAAGGCGAAGCAGTCTATCTTTGTTTTCACCTGTGCGTTGGCGGTGTTGATGGTCAAACACCCTCTCTCAACCTCCTCCCGCTGTCGGTGTTCTGACTGTGTTGGGTTTTTCGCCCGCCTTTTGTGCTTTTCTTTCTCGTCATGTCCCAGGCAATTTGGTGGCATTCTGGTGGAATATCTACCTCAGCCTCCTGCCAGCTCACAAGTGATAGGGCCAGCGTTTGGGATCCGGCAGACACTGCAAGGCGCTTCGGTCTACCGCACGCTACCGAATATATGCATTTATCTCAGATACCACTGTAGGCAATAGCCGGAGCTGGTCCCAAGCGTAGCTATACTTACCTCCCCATAGGGATAGCTGCCCGCCTCATGACCCCCCCAATTGGGTTGGGGACTGGGCTAGGGGCAGAACATTCGGTGTTGCAGATTGTGACAATTTTGGTTTGTGTATGGGGTATCACCGCTACGACCGACGGCATGATTTCGAAGCCTCTCTTACGACTATTGTCGATGGTTGATGCACGCGGCGATTGCCGGGTGCTTTTCTTATCTGACGAGAGGGGATGGGGGGGGCGGGTGCCGCCGCGGTGTCCTTGCCCGTTGCGACGAAATGTATTTGTGGTTTGTTGTGGGTGTAAGCTGTAATGATCGGCCGCAATAGCTCTGTACCTAGAAGGATGTTACGTGTGTTCGGCTCCTGGTCAGCCCAACCGACAACTCCGGGGGGATGTTTCTGTAGCTTGTGTTTATAACGTTCTTGCCAACAAGGTATTGAAGAAGCGCTCTTGTTGTCTTGAAGTGGGGTGCTGCTAGTTTATCGACGTTTTATTAGTATGATTCAGGCGTTTTATTAGTATATCAGGTTACGGTTGTGAGTTGTTTAGGAGGGGAATATTCCACGTCAAGTTTATGTCGTCAGTCGAAGTCACCCAAACGGTTTGTTTTTTGCTCCCCGTCACCTACGCTCGTGCAAGCGAAAATGCAACGGGGAACGAACGTGGTCAATTCGTACCAAGTGTGTGCGGAGTTTTTACTTCTGCGAAAGAGCACACGAACCTCGTGTTTTGTGGGGTATTGCTAAAGGTGTTTGCTGTTTTGGGGGCACGCTTTCATTGAGTTTAGGGATTTCGTGTTTGAAGAATCTAGTCGATTGGAGTCATTTGCGTGTTGCGGTTCGTCTACGTGCTTATCTACGTGAAGGGGCGCTTTTGCAGACAAGAAGAGAGCATACGCTCGTGCCACAAAAAAGCTTGCAGCCTACGTGAGGGCAATCTTATCATGCTTTGAGGGATTACCGTCACGGACTTGGACCGTCTGCGCGCCTCGCCATGTCGGCGGGTTCAACAAACGACACGCTTTGCCTCCTTGGCCTGCACTCTTTCCGCGCGGTGGGTGGTATTTCGCCATGCGCACGTACTTAGCACCGTGCAAGGATGGACTACGTTCGCGTGCTATGCTTTGTCCATCAAGCCAACGTTGGGAGATCCTTTCAAACCTCGGACTAGCCACTACACTCCAAGCGATGCTGGACACATTTCACACTAGTCCCGTCAGATCGTAAGTCTTGCCTTCTTTGGGGAGAACTATTGCGCGCCATCGGGTAAAGATTTCGTGGTAAGTCAAAATAGCTGCACTTTACTGGCATTTTTCTACCCTATGCTCGTTTCTTTGCAATGGAGAGTAGAAGGCTTCACTACGAACAGACAATAGCAGCAATATACATAGACTACATTCAGATCGCCGAGTTGACTTCAGGTAGCGAAAGGGGCCCATGAAGCCAACAAGTCACGTTCCCCTCCTGGGGCGGGTCCCACGCTTCACCGCTCGCAACCTGTAGCACCAATCTCGCTACAAACGCATGTCTTGCCCACATCACAAAAAAAACTAACCTCCGCGACAAGGCCAACAACGAAGTGTTGTCGTCAAAGCCTGAGTGCAGGCGCTAATGTGACGCAGGTTACCCCTCGAGGAGCCAGTCTAGACGGTGGTACAAGACGCTTTTTCCACCAACGCCCGAAGCAATCGATTCCCCCAGTAGCCAACGCTTGGTTTGCTTGCCGGAAGTCGCCCCCACAATTCGTCCTCCCTCGCGTGTGCTGTCTTCGGTCACAGATGGTTAGACTTTTCCTTCTCCTGTGCTTTGCCTCAGCCGTCGAAGCTCCGGTTGCTGTCCTCATCGCTACTGTTGTCACGGTAATCTTCAGCGCTTTGCCCCCTTCTGCCAACCCCGTGTAGTTTCTTCCCTCGCTTGGAGGTGGCCCCTTTTGCGAGTGTTGTAGGCAAGGGTGTCGAACGTGTGGCAAATTGGTCTGGATGAACATACAGTTTCATGCCCCATATCTGAATCTACACCACCAGAACACAAGTGAGCGGCCTACAAGCAGCGTTTATTACATGCTTCACGCGGGTGAGTACTGGCCATGGCCTTCCCAGATCACGCACTCGATACATGAGGGTCGATATAGGCAAACGTCCTCGTATACGCAGGCGCATATGTCGGAACAACAACCATGGGAGAGACATCTACGGCTTATTTACCTCGTCGTTACGGCCTCACCGGTCTTTCTGCTCTTAGCTTGCGCCTCCCTGCGTTTCGCGTCGCGCTTCTCCTTCCTCGCGCGAGCACGCCTGTCCTTCTCACGAGCGGCGTGCTGACTCTTTTGGGTGTCCTCGCGTCGTTTCTCGACCTGCAAGGCGGCCGTGTCGCACCGAGGACTTATCGTTTATCTACGTTTTTCCCGCCACCCCTACGGAACGTGGTCCACATGGTCGCCCCGCACGAGGATCCGGTACCTCGGCTGGGCAGTTTCGACTGAGTAGCGAGTTGTGACCCTTCGTGCTTCTAGGATATCCAACATTTTGACGGAGCACGAAACCAACACGAATTGCATTCATTCGCACGTGCAGGTCTCGGTAATGTGTAGACTCGAGGTGATATACCTTGGGCGACTCTCGAGAAGGACAGCGTCCAAGAACATTTTACTGGTGCGTCGCGCACCCACCCCGCACACCGCAAGGCCAAAGTATGTCTGCTGTGTGCGAAAAACACTTCTGAGCAGTTTTGTTGACTCGAAACAGGCTTGCCTGGGCAGCTGCGGCGGCCATTTGCTCCTCAACTTGCGCGTCGTACAGATCCTTTCCAGCTTCGTCAACGATGATGGCAGCCGCTCCGTCTTCGCGAAACTTCACCGACCACGCTATATTATGTTACGAAAGTTGGCCAGGCGGCGAGAGAGGGAACATTTTGTTCTCCCCATTTGGAACGGGAAATGCGTCGCGCGGGTGCTGAGACTGCGGGACCCCGCCGAAAAATCTAAGTGGGCAGGCGTCTCAATTACGTACGAACCATTGGGGGCAATTGGGGTACAACGCGGGTGATCGGAACAGACCGAGAAATCATACAAAAACATCCAATAGCAATAACTTGGCAACCGCATCAGCAGATTCAATGACAGAGTGAGTGAACAACGGGTCAACCATGGGTTGTTTTTCATCGGAGAGTGAGTCCCAATTAAAACCCCGAGTACGAAAGACAGGTAAAGGTCATCGTACAGATATATCGTACGACGCGGGGAGAACGAGCTTGCAAACTAGCAGCAAAAACGCCGAAAAACACCTCACCGTCTGTTCCAGCGCCTGCGCTGTCGAATACCACCAAGTCGTCAAGGATGACCTGAAGCTGTATTTCCCGTTCTCGCGGTTCCATATTCTAATGCCGATAACACGAATTGTTGACGGCGGGTGGTTAGCCGGAGTGCACGCTGTTGTTGTTGCTGCTGCTACAGCTGAGAAACCAAAACTAGCAGTCCATCGTTCAAACACCCAATCGGAACTACGTGGTCCCAGGCGAAAATTCTCCCGGAAGCAGTGTTCGGTATTCAACCCCAGCGACCTTAGCAAAAGGAGGATGAGCTTCTCTCGGCGTATCAGGCCCAAACGACCTTTGCCACAAAAGATGCACATTTGGCCGACAACCTTCGCCACACGAAGACGGGCACCACCGGATTTGTGAACAAGAGGCTCAATGCGGCAAGGCTTCGGCCGCAATCCCGCCATCGGGCATAGCAATTTTCGGTTGTGCTGGTGCGAAGAGTCCCCTCTACGTCTACTCGAGTCACCTCTACTCGAGTCACCTCTCTCCCGTACGGCGCCAAGGTTGAGTCAAGGCCACATCTTTCAACGAAGAGCATATCCTGGAAACAACAACCCTTCTGGTGCAACAGCAATGGTATAATGATCACCCGGACCCTGGCTGTGGTTGCTACTAACCACAAACAAAAGCAGATCTGAATTCCCCACCCACCAACCAACTTACGTTTTGTTTCAAGTGTGCCGGAGCGTGATTCAAGCCGGCACTCTTACCAATTTACCCGTGTGGCAACAAGGGGGCGAGTTTGCCGACAGGCAGCGTATCGGAGTGTCATCCAAGATCGAACATCTTCACGTTCCAACCGGGCTCGAGGATAACTTTCATGCGGGGCGCACAACCCGTTTAGGGCATGGTGCGCCGCGATGAGCCTGTTTCCAACATGTATCTTCGTACGTCAGAGAACAGATGCCACACAATAGGTTACCCATCCGTCCGGAGATCACCTGCCGTCACACGAAAGCGCTCTACACGATGCATGGTCCGGAAAACGAAGAAAATACACACCTTGAACTCCGAGATGAGGGCCGAGTCCCTCGAACGGTCGAGCCGCTCTGCCTGTCTGATTTCGCCGCCGATGAAGTCGTAGCATCTCACAACGAGGGCATCATGCCATTGGGAAACGACCACCAAGAGGTACATGGGAGGGATGCCCAAACCCATAACCTGCAACGGCATGGATTTTGGCAGTCAAGGAAGGTGGGGTAGGAGGGAAAACCTATTGCAATCAGTCTTTGCTAGTAGCGGGAGAAGAGGGGTTAGCTGAGAAAGCGCTGTGCGATGATAAACATGGAACACCTAACACCAAATACTGATAGTTTAGGTGTGTGTTATGCGGTCTTCTTCGAAGGGTGGTTTATTCAAGTGTGGGCGTGATTCTCGGCCGAGGCCCAAGCGAGGCCTTTCAAATGAACTGGGCGTCGGAGTGCCAGATTTTCTCGTTCAGGTTCAACGGGAATCCCCCGCCTGACCAAGCCAACGCATCATCAGGACGCGCGCACATTAACATCCCCGGCTGCACTTAGCCTTGACGGACAGTACATACATAAGCCGACGTACAGAACATCAGGAAAAGCGGGGGCAAATTCATTCCGGAGAGCTCGATAAAACAGGGCCGGGGACGACTGTCTTACCTTAATTACCCTGCGGAAAACACACGTTCCAACTACGAGTCGGACATCGGCTGTGTGAACTCCGGCCAACGGTCGGCCGGGCTGCCCCATCGCCGTCTCCGTCATGAGCCCGCTCGGAGGCGTTCTTGTCGCCTGATCAAGCCAAAAATGGAGGCCGTACACAAACCTCTGCTCGAGATGAACTTAGTTTTCGAGGGGCCAAGCAAGCCTCGTAAGGGGGGGGGTGTACCGGGTGGTACTCGCGAAGGATGAGAACGAGGGCGAAAAGGAATACTGTACCGTACTGCTGTGGGACTGGTTTTCGTCAGGGCCTTAGCGGGAGATTGTGCGCGGCTTCCTGGAGGGAAAAGTACTCGGTGAACGTGGCCGTACTTTTAGCCAGCCGATCACGAGGCATCGGGCGGAGAGGGAACCATCAATTCTGAGGCTTTCGGTCGGTGACCTCGCGCGGCCCGCGAGGAGTGGAGACGCAAACAAGGGACTGTACCGTCTACGCAGCTCGGGGAAGATAGGTCGTGCTTGCTTGACTTTGAATACTCCAAGTGTGTTGATTCGGGGCTAAGCACAGTAGTTCTAATACGATACCTTGCGTTTGAGGCGTGGATATTCACCAACAACGGCGGCCAAAAGATACCTGAGACGTGATGCACTCTTCGAGGGAAGGCTGATCCTGCCCCGAAGTTGTCTGGTCGTAGTCCGGGCGTGTGGCGACGATGGTCGGGTCCCCGGCAACGCCACCTTGGACATCGCTGCCCCAGTAGCACTTGCGCAAAATCTGAGGCAGTGTTTGGCGAAAGCGAGAGTGTACCATCTGTACGGAAGAATGCTTGATGAAGTGGTGAATTGGCCCCCGTTCGGCAAGCATGTTCGTTGTGAGAAATCGACGTACGTCCATCTTCATAGAGCGTTACATCGCCCACGATAGGGGTGTTGAAGACCTCCTGCTGGCGACCCCTCAAGTACGCACTCCACAATCAATCTCTCAGTGCTGGTAGCTTAGTGCCCATAGGACTATAGGCTAAGGTACGCACACGACGCATGCCCTCTCGCTGGTGTTACTGCCGGCGCTGCTGCTGCAGCTGTCAAAAATCGAATCAAATATTTAGCGGGGTGGTACCGATGGCACCTGTAAGAAAAGCCCAGGGAAGAACACACCTCGCGTGCGACCCTCTCCCAGGCCTCGCTTTCCGTCAGCGGCGGCACAGCGCCATCCCTATTTCTTGCTTTTGGTTCCCCGTGTTCCTCAGCCTGTGCGGCCCCCGGTGATAGAGCCAATTTTCTGGTCTCCTCTCCCCTTCCTACCAGACCGTTGTCTGACAGTGCTGTTGTTGCCGTCGTGGCACCGGTGGAATTGTTTGCGCCATCGCGCGTGGGAGGGGCGCCTCCGAATGTGGTCGTGGCGACGTCCCGCTTGGAGGACCACTCCTCCGCCGCGGGAAAGACGTCCGAGCCTTCGGTAAGAAGGTTCAAATCTTGAGCGAGAAGCTTCAGCGTGAAGGCCGTGTGAGTCTCGATTGGCCCTTGCCTCAGGGGGCGAAAGTCATTCGGCTGATACCTGTCGCGCGTCACGCAAAGGCCGGAACGTTGTGAAAACAACACGGTGCCATCTGGGCTCTACTCAGCTTCGGCGATGGCAGTTCCCCGCCAACTTTCGCTATCGTCCGTTGGGGGGTTGGCCGGGAGTTCAAGAGCGTGGCTTGGGACGAGGGCGGCAACGGGGAGCGAATCATCTTCAAGCGAATCCTTTGGCAAAGCTCATGCTTCATCTGCGTACTCGTTGGAGATCCCCAAGGGATATACGCAATCACCATCGTAACGTCAACGTAGATGCGCATGCGAGGCAACGAAGATTGACAACAGATTATCGAGTTTCGACAACCAGACGTCTACAAAACTCTTTCCCAAACCGAACGTGCTTCCAGTGCCGGGTCTCCCTTCGCCCTGCTAAAGGCCAATCAGGCGTCAAGGTGAGAAACAACCGTCCATCTACAGAAGCCACTCGCTATGAAGCACACGCGACGGTAGCAACAGTTGCCGCAGTGAATTCCTTACCAGTCCAGCAGATAGTCATCCTCAGCGCCGGCCCAGTTACCCCGCAGCAGAGAGTAAATACCCCGCGCACCACGCACTCGCGCTATCCCACCGCACAACCTGAGTGCCGTTGGGCGCGTTCACCATGAGACAACAAAAATGTCGTATGTTGGTGCACTGCATATTTGCAGGTTGAGGAACACGTCTTCGCCGAGGCTTCCTAAAATAGCAACCGCTATATAGATGTGGATCAGGCAGCCCCTGGAGCTGCTGGTGCTTGCAGAACCGCCCGGGAGGATGAGGACTCCCAGTCGAGCGCTTGAAGACGTACAGACAGAGACATACGTACCGTCGATGTCGACAGAATGATCGACGGTGCCCATTAAACGGTTCATATAATGCTAGCCTCTCCCGGTTGCGGTGGGTCGGTACGAGCGAGTAGGGACTCAATCGTCGTATCGGAAGAAAAGCAAGCTGCCGGGAGTTTCGGTAAGCTGGGTGATGTCCTGACTAGCAACGAGCTCAACGATCTCCATCTCTATACGTAGAAGGAAATCACCTGACTTGGCCCTTTGTACCCACAGAGGTTATGCGGGGGGGGAAAATCAGGTTACGATCCGCTCAAGCCCCAACGATACGTTTTCCTTTCGAAAGGGGGACGTCATATCCTGTCACCTGCGCCCGCGTCCGCACTCCCTCCTTGGTCGTGGGCGTATTCGCACCCTTACGCCGCATCCGTATGTCTCTGCCCTCTCCGTCACATCTCGACTCCTCGTAGCCCCTTCACTTTCGTCGTCTGTTAGATCCTTCCACGAGTTATCAGCACTGCCGTCCACCCCATGGCTTGATGCTGGGTTCCCTTGCATCGCTGTGCCGGAAACTTGATCACCCACAGCCACTCCAACGCTTGGCTCCGCGACACCGACCAATGCCGTGTGCGTCGACCGGGAAGACATAAGAGAGAAGGTGCGGCGGTGGTCCTTTGGGCTAGGCTGCTGCAGCTGGTGGGCATTGCACGGGCGGGTGAACCCCCGGGACGCGGTTGGTAGCGCGCGCGCGTACGCTGCCGTGCTGTCTCGCCCTAGGCACCTGGGAAGCACACAGGTTGGCAAGACGGTAATTCACACCGTACGGAGAATCGTTTCTTAGCGCTTGCGTTAGCGCTACACCAGCGAAGAGCACTTGAGACTATTCAGGAAAAGGGAGGCATCGACAATAATTGAAGCGCCCCCACATTGAGCCACTGACAACCACGCAACACGTGTCGGAAGGAAGTGTCAGCAAAGCGTTCTAGGAACTAGCTGATCTAGGGGCACTATCGCGGCGGAAGTAATCTATTCAAACACGGGAAAACAGTCAGCGGAATCGCTGCTTCGAACAGCGGCAGTTTGCAGACCCTGCATTCGGCACACCCGATCTTTCTACCCGGGATACTAAAGATCCAGGACGCACCTGATAGCGCAGAAAACTTGTCGGACTCCGCAAGCACGGTGTTTGCTGATCCCATCGCCGCCCACGGAGAGACCGTTCCACGGATCGTTCTCCATCGAAAACGCCTCGGCGTCTACTTCTTCGCCGTTGTCTGTTCCTTCCTCGGAATGTGACGTTCGCGGTCTACTACTGAGCAAGCCGCAAACGAGTCGCATCAGTACGGAAACAGCCACGACAAGAGTTCGGGG